GAGTACAGCAAAGAAAAACAAACCGAACATAACAAAAGGACATATAGCATCAGAAACAGTCACATACATTGCTAAATAGATCTGGAGATAAACGTTTATATTATATTATTTGGTTTTATGGTGATGGAGGTGGAGAGCATTGTCTTACACGTTGATCCAAAATCTTCTATAGGTGTGAAACTGGGTTGATATCTGGAAGGTATCTGAAAGCCTTAGCATTAAATTCATGTCACTTTCAAACTCACAAAACCATTCTGTGATCCCTGGTGCACAGAAGCATCTACATTTGATATGTTTCTCCACTCTTTCATTCAGGGTTTCCTTTAATTTGTCCCCTTCTTGTATAATATTTGGCTTCACTTATTCTGATAAGTGAAACAGTGACACCTAATGGATAACATGCAGTTTCTGCATTACTACTGTATTTTGATTTGGAGGCCTTCAAGGCAGGTGTTGACGCTAGCTTTCTGCACTATTTTATATTTATCTGTGGGCTTTGCAAAGTAAAATTAAGATAGGTGAGTTAGTTATTTTGTGCCAAACATACTGGGAACTCCAATGTGGTTCTCAATGAAGCGGATGTAGTTCTGTGCCTTGGCCGGGAGGTCATTCCACTTCCTGACTGCAGACGTGTCCGTCTTCCATCCAGGGAAGGTCTCATACTCAACCTCCACTTTGTGCAAAACGTCCATGTTGGCTATGATCGAAAGAAATCAATTACCTACCTATCTTTAATACAATATTATCTGTCACCGAACAAAGCTGATGGTTTGCGAGTCTTTTTTTCACATATGAGTTCCTCTATTAAATTACCTGGGAAATGGGGAATTCTTTTTCCATTGAGTTTGTAGGCGACTCCAACTTTAATTTCATCCAGCACATCCAGAATGTCAAGTTTTGTCAAAGCAATGCTGTTGGACAGATAACGTGTCATAAGAGAACTGTTTAACAGGTGCTGTTTATTATTATGATTATGTAATATATGATAGTGTGGGAAAAACTGAGCATCAACATTCATAACAACCACGAAACACCTGATGATTTGCTTAAGCTGCTGTTGCCACTCACGCGGTGAAGCCATTAATCATATGAGCGTATCTGACGATGACAAGATCCAACCAGCCGCAACGTCGCTTCCTTCCTGTGGTTACACCCACCTCATGACCCCTCGTCTGCAGCAGCTCTCCTACTGCCTGCAGTAAACAGGGGAAAACAGCCCTATCTGTTATCTTTATTATCCTTGAACTTAAATGATGACAGGTCTTTAATAAACCCTACAGAAAGCTAAAAATATGCAGTCAGCACATTAGGACACAGCTGAGTTCAACAAAGCATCACATTTACCTGATGCTTTTATCCAAAGCGACTTACAATTGCTATACATGTCAGAGGTCGCACGCCTCTGGAGCAACTAGGGGTTAAGTGTCTTGCTCAGGGACACAATGGTGGATGGGTCACAGCGGGGGATTGGTCTCTCACACCAAAGGCATAGTCTTATCCATTGCGCCACTGCCACATGGGCTGGGGGATAACGTTTTAACATCTTGACCTATTCCTATGGTCAGTTCCCGTGACAAGTAACATAACCCCAGCTCACACAGTAAATATATCCTGAACTCGCACTCTGGCCCTAAATTTATCCCTCTGAACACGTGATCTGCATAAGAGGTAAAGGGTGTTTGAGCCTGTCTCACACAAAATTTGACAGCTGCACTCACAGCCAGAGAACAACCCCATGCCTCCTCTCCCCTCCGCTCCCCTCCCCTCGACCAGACCCGCTGCTTGTGTGTGCCACATGTCAAACGTAATATCAATGAGTTACATAACATGTCACGTGTCCCTTCTTCATACAACACAAAGGCCAGGAGAGAAAAGAAGACATGTGACTACTATCTAGTTTATGTGCCCCTTTAATCTTACTAATTTACTTAATTAATAGTATAACTTACATTGAGTTGTTCCGTGGGGAAGGCTCCAATCCCCACTCTGGTGGTGTAGGCCTTTGACACACCAAACACATCACCAATATTAAGTGGAGGGATGCCGAGGCCAGTGCATGCCCCACCCACAGTGCAATTTGACGACGTCACAAAGGGATATGTGCCTGAAGAGAATCCTTTTATTTGTTACTATATAGAACTCCTTCCCAGGTCCCAAAAAGAAAAAAATCACATGAACATTTAATTTAATGGCTGCTGACCCTACCAAAGTCAATGTCAAGGAGAGCAGCATTGGCTCCTTCCACCAGAATCTTCTTTGGAGGTCCATGAAGAGCTTCATACATGTAATAGACCCCATCTCTCACCATCGGCCGCAATCTCTCAGCATATTCCTGCACGAACAAGGAGACAGACACATGTTTATTTGTTGGAAGCAACGACAATCATTTATCGCTTCACTCGTCATCGGTGTCTACCTTGAGTTTCTTCAGTTGGTCCTCAACATCAACTGTCAAGGCTGGATACATGGATTGATACTGGTGGACGAGGTTCTTGAATCTAAAAGGAAAGGAAACCATGAGTCATATCACGAACCATACATTATAGTATTGTTCTTGGTGTCTGCCATATTCCCACCATCCCCTTACCTTGTAGAGAAGTCCTTAAAGTCACCCAGGAGGTCACACACACGTAGGCCGGTGCGAGATGCTTTGCTGGAGTATGCAGGTCCAATGCCCTTCTTGGTTGTTCCAATGCTGTAATTATGAAGCACAATCAAAAATAAGTGATGTAAGATAATAATGTGGATTGTAGTGTACTGTGGCGTATTAAGTCAAGTCAAGTAACATTTTATTATCCCACTAGGGGAAATTTGGTTGCAGTCAGGTATTAAAACACATTCAATCCATTGTCAATACAACATGAAGAGAACATACCAGACAGGGCACAGAGACAATAATACAGTACAGTGCAAGTGCAAAATGTTGGCAGGTCTGGCTCACTCTGAAAATTCTCCTGCCCTCACCGCCTTCCCTACCCTTACTTCTTTCCTTCTTGTGCTTGTCTTTCAGTTTCCTGTAAGCCATCGACGACCTGGTGGAAATCAAACACTGCAGAGACAGCAAACACACAAATAAATGGCAACCTTCACATGCAAGGTTGTACTACGTTAATAAACTTCTATAAACAGGGACATAAACTGCACGTACCAAGGTGAGCTCTGTCTGAGACAATCAGTCTCTTCTCCCAGCCTTTCAGACCTGGTCAGAGAATAGAAATCGCATCTATGAGTGTACACTGGACTTAATTTTCACTGGAGCAAAACGTAGAGAAGTGTATTCTTTCTTAAAATACCTTTCTTCTCATTTTTATCGCCTTCCTCGAACAAGCCAGGCAGATGTATGACCACTCCGTTGCCTACAAGAGCAGAGGAAGAGGAATATATAGACTCGGCTGCAGTGATATTCTTAACGATGCTGTCTCTCTAAAGTGGAAAATTGAAGCCATTACCAATGAGTGATATGCTTTTGGGGTTGATAATTCCACTGGGGAGAAGGTGGAAGTCATACTCCTTGCCATCCACTACCACTGTGTGTCCTGCATTGTTACCCCCCTGTAAAGTAAAGCAGGGCAAATATTGTGACCACGTGATAGTTTATAATGTCAGTGTTTTGATGCAGATATAATCAAATACAGTATGATTCAGCCACATTAACATGTCTCATCTTATTTGGTGAGACGGCGATAAGCCACCCTCTTCCCAATTCACAGAGCTTTCCCAGCACATATTTCAACAGACTTGGCCAGTGCTGGTGGATGCTCCACTCTGTTCCCCCTGGCTAAGACCTGGCCTTCTCACATATCAAGCCACCCTGAGAATGTGACCTCGCTCTATCCCCGGTGGGTGGGGCTCTCAAGCCTCCAGAACACAGGGTGCTAGTCCTGTCAGTGGTGAAAGTACAACACAGCAACTGTTGGCAGGTTTCTGGAGTGACCTCTGATTTCTGATCTGAGGTTTGCCTGTCTTATGTAAAGGGACGTCTGGGGTTGTTTTTATTGTTACTGAACGCATCTCAAAATCCAACCTTTCCTTCTATAATCTCTTTGTGATCAGAATGAGTTAGTCACAGCAACTTTACACTAGGTTTAGTGGTAACAGAGAAATTAGGCATATGTTATGCTAAAATGATATTAAAAATGGATATGGGACATTCTGTATCTGTTAAATGTTTTGAAATTTGCGTTTATTGGGCACAATTCTCCAATTCCATCATTTTAATCATTGAGTACACCGTTAAGAAAGTACAGTACACATTCAATAGTTTATTGTTATAGTAAAAAATAAGTCCCAGCTAATGAATAAAATATTCTGTTAAGTATTCCCCAAATCACAGAGGTACAGTGTTTTCAACCCGGTGCACCTGTTGCGCTCCACCAGGCCGCCAGTAAGTGACAGATTCAGTTGTGAGACTTCGAATTCAGTGAAAAAATGGCATTCAGTAATAAAATGACACGCCTCTACGAATGCTCAGCGGAAATCACGGATCCAAAACATTTACCTGACATCTGCAGACGACGTCAGCTTCAGTCGCCAATAAATCGACGACTTTTCCTTTGCCCTCATCTCCCCACTGCGCACCGAGCACCACGGTCGCTTTGTTCCCCGTGTCGTTGCGCGATCGCTTCTGTCCCGTCGCGGAGGCTTGATTCATGTTTTTGTGGTCTTTCGCCGACCAGGTGAGCGACATGATGGTGGTGGTTTTACTCTGTCCGTCTCAAGACGACTAAGCTGTCTGCAAGAGTGGCATTGCCATATCTGTAACTTCATAGCCGATGATGTCAGAGCCAGACGCACAGAAGCGCGTAACTGAGCTCATGCAGGTTGTCTCCAAGGCTGTTGAAGCAACATGGGAAAAAGGCTTTCCGCATCAGTGAAAAGTATGACGGTGGACTCACCAATTAAAATCGTAACATCATATAACATTTTTGGTCATAACATTTGATTTTGGTCGCCTCATTACCGCCATCTGTGTGAACGTGTTGATTAAAAACAAACAGCCGAACAGTACATTGACTTTTATTAAAATATATCGAACATTAAAAGTTACAATGCATTCAATGCGTTCCATATATTTCCCGTTGGAGCTCATCTGGATAATATAGAAAGGAATGACATGACTTTCAAGCGGTTTGGTTTAGATGTGTTAAATTAAATATCTTGGAGCAAACACCGCAATCTTTCCTTCTAAAGCGGCTGAACGGTAAATAGAGCTTATAGCAAAAAACATTCACGGCATATTACAACAATTGTACAAAACATATAAAGCATATTCAACTTTTTTTTTTGAATAGTTCTGAATCAAAACCACTCATTTACACAAAAACTAAAACTAATTTACATAAAGTGACATGTGAACATCCATGCTGTGAACATCCCAGCCTTAGATGTGCTTCCTCTACTTGGTCTTTGAAAACAACTCATTTCAAAAGGAAGACTTCTGCATCCTCTTGAAGGAGTCAATATTCATGTCCCAAAAAATAAAATATACTTTAGTCCTTCCAGTTCAGAACTGAAATTAACATGTTCTTTTTCCTCTTGATTTCCTTTTTCTGGAGGCACCTAGGGAAACAAAGACTAAAATGAGTAGATAGAATCAAATTTTATATAAATAAACTGCTGTAATACCCTCATGGCTCATAGGCAGTTGGCAGAGGAATTTATTTACGATTGTTTGGCTGCAGACATGAGTACATCGGCTTTAAAATATATATATTTTTTTTAAGTAGTGATAACATCTTTAATGCATTTCCATCACATACAGTATGTTTCATCAAAATCAGATTAACAAAGCACAGTTTACAGGAAGCACACGAGACTGTTAGTAGATTAAAACAGTCCCAGTTGCAGATTTGGGGAATGGACGAGAAAATATGGAAGAAGAGACACAAAGAACTCAGTCCACGATGACTTCACAATGACTTCACAGACTGCAAGGCTGTTGGAGATCAGAAAACTGCAATGTATGATTACTAAACCACTGATTAAAAATAGGGTTAATTGCTGTACACACAGTACTTTTAGGATTAGTTTTCCGCAGGCTTGGACATTAGAATCACCTCAAGACACAATTAGGATTTTGGCCTGGGTAATCACTGAATTAGACAAGTGTAAGAGAGCAAGTGTTAAAAAGCTGGACAACAGAGACAAATGAAATCCAGATCCCAGTTAGACCAACAAATGACATGTTATTTGGGACAAAGCTTCGACGGTGATTGAGTTCATTAGGATGATGTTCCTGCTTACAGTCCCATCCCATCGATTTGACCTACCTCACTGCAACACACAGCCTTTTTTATGTTTAGTGTGTCCTTTCCCACTGTTACCTTGTGTTTCAGAGAGTCAGAATGGAAAACAGAGCATTCAAACAAACTGGCCATATTTAAAATCCATTCAATATTAAATCTGCAAATGCAGTGCTGTATACTTATACTGTATACTTAATAAAATGCATGTTGTCATGCAAAATACTTAAGATTATACACTCAAATAGCCCATACACAAAATATAAAACGTTAAATGCAATAAAAACAATGCAAATAAGGATTTCCCTTTAAGACACATCAAGAGACTAGCATTCCAAGCGTGATCTTTATTTAAGTTAATGGAGGGATTACCTTGATTACTCTTCTTTTTGTTTCGTTTAAAGAGGCTCTGTCGTTTCTTTGGTTCTGGCTTAAGGGATGGAGGCACCACTTCAGACGCAGATGGCAGATCTTCTGATCCCAGTCCATCTGGAACATCACACCCCTCGATGCCCTCGCTGAGTGTCGTCACATTACTTTTAGAGTCTGAATGTTTGTAACTCATGACCTCTCCTTGGCTGGGCGTTTTGACAATAATGTGTTCCTGCTCTTCTTGACCCTTCTCTTGTCCTACAGTCTCTATTAAATGGCTTACTTTATTACTAGTTTCGCCTTTCCCACCTCCCATTATATTGCTTTCACTGCTCTGCGTCATATTGTCTGTATTAGGTAAAGGGCCTTCCTTGATCTGAACATTCACACTAATGTCCGCTGACTCCTCAGGCATCGACTTCTCAGGTACCAGGCTGCGTGTGCCATCTAACATGGCATTAAGCAGGTCTGAATCTGAGAGGGAAGATGGGCTGAGGATGCTGGTCTCACTTGAATCCAATGAAAAGCCATTTGCGGAGAGACATGGTGGATGTTCCACTTCAACCTGAGCCGAAGGTCGTGTCATATCTAGTGAAGACGCTGCTGGTTTCTTGGGACAATGCCCCTGCTGCAGCAATGCAGGTCTTTCCAGGGGTGCCTGCATCGTTATGACTGGCCTTTGTGGGAGTGTGTTGGGAGGTACAGCTTGTCCGCCTTGCGCTGCCCTCTGAGGTGCTGGGGGAGTCTCTTCTGATGGGCTGATGAAGCCGTTCACTCCACCTGTGCTTGCCTGGTGACCCTCTGGCTGAGGTTTGGTGGGATCGGTGGCCATTTCTACGGCTTCTTCGTCTACAGGCTTCACACTTGATCCTGTTGGGAAGAGAAGCAGGTTGTATTGATGGTGAAGGTATATACATTAAGACCATTTTTTCACAGCGAACAAAGACGCATGTCAAGAAATTGATCTGCATGTGAACAAACGCTATTGTAGCTCGGCAAAGCAAGTAAGCGATGGAGCTAGCATAGCAAGTTGGCAGTGGTGTTAAAGCACAAATGAAAGAGCCTGGATAAAAGCAGCAAGGCGGTGTTGTGGCTTGCTCAGGAGCGGAGCTAGGAACTGCGGATGGAGGCCACAGTCTCTTGTCCTTACCAGATGGGCAGGTATTCCTACGCATTTCACTAGAAGGGAGGCTTTCCGAATCGCACCTTGGCCTGGTCTTTCTAAGGCTGAAACCTTTTCTGATATCCGCCAGGAGATGGTCGATGATGCAGCCGTCGTCCTGTGGCACAAAGCCTTTCTTGACTGGTAAAAAAAGAGAGGTAGACTATAAAGAGCGTCATCTCAGGAGTTTCTAGCACAGTGAAAGAAAGCAGGGCTGTTCCCAACTTACTTATTTTTCCATTATCTCCCTTCTGTCTCTTGGACTCTTCCTCTGCCAGCTGCTTCTTTCTCTTCTCAGCCTTGGCCGCCTGCTCTCTTCTAGTTTTGTTTTCCTGTTATCATGAAATCAAGGATGTCACTCACTGCCAAGTACAAAATGTACGTAGCAATTGTTCTTTGTATCATTTGGGCACAGACATATTAACATCTTTCAGTTTTTCCACAGTTTAATGATACACATGTTCCAAAAAAACAACCCAAAACACTAACCCATACCGAAGAGGAAGACTTAGTCTTGCACTGTGTGTATATATGTGCAACTTCATCACATCTCATACAATATAAATGTATTAAAAAAAACCTGCAAATACATAATCATAGGGACAGCCATGTATTGACTAACATCAACAAAGTATCCTTCCTGACCTTGAGTGCCCTGATGAAAAGTCCTCGGAAAGTCCTAATGGTTCCAAAGAGTTCCTCAAGCGACAGCTGATTGGCATCTTCACATAAGTAGACGGCCAGCTCGCTCCTCTGCTTCTCAATGGCAGCAAACCTCTCTGTTAAAGCTTGACACGCCTCCAGACTGTCCTGCAGCAGTGAATGGAGGAAAAAATTGAGGAATATGGGATTTGGATCTAGCTTTCAAAAACAGTATCGAGTGATCACATGACCATTTGTAGGCAAAGCACACTATCATCTCACCTCAAGAACTTTTGCATATTGCGCCTTCATCTCTTCGACAGAGTTGGAGACCTTCTTGGCCGTGTCATTGAGTCGTTTTAGTAGCCCATTGGCTTCTGACTGAACAGAGTCCAGATTAACTCTGAGGACAAAGTGTAAAACCTTTTGTTATATATCTGTTACAGACCCACTTACGACCAATTTAAAAGGAGCTGAAGTAGATTTGAAATGCTTTTTATATACCCTGCTGCTTTTTCACAGATCTCTATATCATCTGGCAGCGCCAAGAGCTCCGGGTGGTTCGCTTCTGCCTCCTTTGCAAAACAGGCCACAAACAGTGTGTTATTAAACAAGTTTATCACTGGGGGGTGGGATAGTGGGGGGTTATGGCAGATGTAAGCCTGTTTGTGTACCTCCAGGATGTGATGAAGCAGCGTAATGCGGCTCTTGTTGGCCTTGGTCTCTGTAAGCTTGAGCAGAGAGCTGATCTTGAACCCCTCGGCATTCCCTGTGTGACTTCCCTGGAAGTAGACCGGTGATTAAAAATGCAAGCTCTGTCTAAATGTCAGCTTAAGTAAAATATACATGAGACCGAAGAGGTTCTTACATAGTTGAGAAAATTTCCAACGTCAAGGATGAGCTTGCAGAAACTGGGCATGAGTGTGCTCGTTTTCAGAGCTGAGAAATTTGTTACATTGTGTTAATTTGGGGGGGGGGGGGAGCAACTGCATGCATGTGAATACAGCTGAAGGTTTTACTTACACTGGCAGGCCTCCTCCACCAGCTTAACTTTAGGTTTCAGCATGTCCAACACTGATGAAGTTTCCTCACACAACAACATGCACTCAATCCTCAACTGATAACTGAGGAGACAGAGCCAGAAAGCAAAGTAAATAAGGAGCCAAGTGTGACAGTATACGCTGGATTGAGAATATCAAGCATACAGCACGCACATAATTAAAAGTCAAACCAGTTACCATGGCACAGTGAGGAGGGAGGTGTAGAAGCGGTCAACATTTGCCAACTTGTCTTTATCTCCTTGGAAGGACTTCAAATTTTCAATCTGAAAAAACAAGACAAAAAACAAGACAGTGACTCAGACATTTGCCATTTTAAAATGGGCCCTTAATGGCATACTTGTGTGGCATAATTGTGCAAAAACGTGTCTAGGTAAGGATGGAGAATTGTTAAATTGTTGTTGAGTACAAACCTCATGCTTCTCTGGTAGGAGCTTTAGAAGCTGTTTTAGCACTTCAACATCAAACCTAGCACGATCCCCATTCTGAATCATGGCTACAAAGTCCTCATTCGTGCTAGACAGAGACAATAAAAATACTGAGCTGGAAAATAGACAACAATATATAAAAATAGCTTTTAAAAAAGTGTGATATCTTACCATTTGAACTGCTTTAGGAAGATGTTCAAATTTAGGTTTTTCTTTGGATCAATGAATGTAATCTATAGAAAGAAAAAAAAAAGACAAGCTAGAGAGGCATATTGATTATACAGCTTTGATAATCAGGCCTGTTTGTTCTGAGGGCTACAGCTCTGAGGAGCTGTATTGAGTGTTGACCAAGCGCACCTCTTTAGGCTCCTTCTTGACAGGAGCAGCTGCCCCCTTGTCTTTGTGCTCGGTCACTGGGAGACAGAACAGCTGCTCAATACTGCTGTAGTCCGGCTCCCGAGGAGGAGGCTCTCTCTGAACCAAGGCCCACATGGAGTGACCATCTGTGAGTGTGCAGGAAGAGAGGAACCTGTCATGAGCTCACGTGGCTCCTTTTTGAATTAACGTATCACTGTGGCTGAAACTCGTTTAAAAAAAAAAGGTGATGTTGCTCCCTCTCAAATCTCAGGGGAATCCTCTGTAACACCCATGTTAAATCACCCACATTTAAAATAATGGACTGTTTAGCCTTCAGATGTTGTTGTTACAATGAATGTTCCATCCCTGTCAAGTTCTCTACACAGGTGCCTTCTGCCTATGTCTGTAGCTCAATTTAAACAGCATGACGGATGGAAGCAAAGCCTTATTAAATTTTACTTTTTAGTCTTAGCATACGTATATCAAACTTGACACTCTTGAAATTATATTCAGCCAGGGTTTGCTGCCTTCATAAAAAAGGTACATGACTTTTGACTGAATGAATAAAATGAATGAGTGAATGACTGGATGTTTTATCCACTCACCAGTAACAGTGCGGAGTTTCTGCCAGTTGAGCTTTTTCATCCTCAGGGTCGGGCATCTGTTTGCCTTTGTGGGTGCAGCAAACCCTAGGGCCTGGCTACTCTGAGCCACTACCATGCCTGGGGGAGGAGGAGGAGCAGGCACCATGCCAGGTAAAGGAGGTGGTGGTGGGGGTCCACCAAACCCTCCAGGTAGTGGTGGAGGAGGTGGTGGGGCAGACATGCCTGGGCCACAGGGCAGTGGTGGTGGTGGTGGTGGTGGCTGCATTCCAGGCAAGGGAGGAGGTGGTGGGGGCCCACCAAACCCTCCAGGTAGCGGTGGAGGAGGAGGTGGTGGGGGACACTGGTTAGAAGGCTGGCCCAGGGGCCCAGTCATACTAGGTGGTAGAGGAGGAGGTGGGGGTGGAGGGGGAGGAGCGACACACAGCGGCTTCTGAGAGGACTTTATGCTTTTGTCTGACATTTCTTTGCCCTGATGATCCAGATCAGTCTGCACGGCTTTATGCATTTTCATGAGCTGCCCGTCCACTTCATGATGACCCTCACAGCTCTTGCCTTTGGAGAACATCAGCCGCTGCATGATCTTATCACAGGACTCTATCTGAGCTGGAGCACAAATCCAAACACACACACACCGTCTTACACGTGTGTTCCTCTATCCCCGTGGGGTCATCTCATTGATACAATGCTTAGCCATCACAACTTCATGCTTAACCCTTACCTTAACACTAACCTAATAGTAACCTGAATCCTAAAACCTTGAAGTCTTCACCCTCAAAAGGCAGTCTCTACCCGTGGGGACCTACATTTTTATCCCCACGGTGACACGAGTCCCCATCGGTTAGTGTGCATTCAGGTAAAAACATGAAACAAACAAACAAACACACACACACACACACACACTCTCTCTAAAACAAAATCTTTTAGCTATCCTGTCAATAGCTGCCTCTATGATCTATTTCCCTGGATAATCACTCCCTTTCACACATGAATCACAGAGCAGGCCATTAGCTAGTCATTAGCCTCTTCAAAGTGTTGACCTAAAGTGAATGTGTTGCTGCTTCAGTGCTGACTCACAGTCCTGGGCCAGCAGTATGGCTCTATTAGTGATGGCCTCCAGAGCCAGCCAGATATCAGAGCGGCCCGGCCCCAGCACCAACAAAGTCTGCAGGATGGACAGCAGCTGGAGAGAGGCTGGAGAGCTACTCACCTGTACACACCAACACACGCACAAAGTAAGAGGGCTTATCATGTTGACATATATCAGTCACAAAAACTTCATGAATTGAACTGTTTTAAATCAGAAAGATGATCGTGATCAGTCTCCAATGTGCTGAACTATCTCAGTTCTTAGTGGTGGATGATAAAGCCAGTCAGACCTTGTTAAAGAGTGTAGTGAAAACCTCCAGGTGATTACTCATGTCAATGCCCCCATAGACCCGCAGCAGCTCCTCCTCATCTTCAGCCATTGCCTCTTCAAAAGCTTCACATTGAATAATCAAGTCTTCATCCTCCTGCTCCCTGCACACCACCCACATACAAATACGCTGATGGGGACACTTCATCGCATTTAAATGTCATTTTCAATTTTTTTAAAGCAAAGGCAAGGGCCACAAATTACTGTCATTAATGGACACAAATTGCTAAGATCTTTTCCTAAAAACACCATTTTACTTGCAATGATTATGGATTTTATTAAATAGAACATAACTGGTTGCATTAAATCTGCTTCAGAGATTAAGAAGCTGACAAAAATCAAATGTAAATCCCAGGTGGTAGGCTCACCTCAACTTTGGCAGAATATCAAGTAACTGAAGCCCTGCAAGACAACAATAAAACACAGTTCTGTCTATCACAACACTCAGTTATCAGTTTTTAAGAAGGGTTCATCTAAAAGAGGTCTATCACATCTCTCCACAGAAGCATATGTTAGTTTGGGGGTAATGGCAAGAAGTCACAGGTGAGCAATCACAAAAGAGGAGTGGCCAAACAAATAGCGATTGGTCGAAAGGTGGTGGGTGGCATTTTAATGAATTTGGGAGGGTTTACATCGATGCAACTCTGACATATTTGTTAAACTTTCACAACCGTGGTGATCTTCAGGCAGCTTGATAGCTCAGCACTTAACACTGATGCCTCATAGGGTAAAAAGGTCCTGGTTTCATGTCTGAACTATCAGTATGAGGTTAATCCTGCTTTTGTCCAGTAGTATAGATAAAAATATAAATAGTGAGTTTCATTGAGATAGATTAATTTCTTCAAACTTAAACTTTTGATAGTCACTAGTGATGGTGCAAAATGCATGAATACACAATTCTTTATCCACTTGAGGTTTGCTTAGTTCTCAGGCATTTTGTCAAAGTGAGAATGAGGCCATTAGACCTATTCTTAGACAGACCCAGTGACAGAGATATTTGTAATAGAGCTCCTGCAGATGGCCTGATTCCCCCTCTGCATTCACTTAGAGGGGGAAACACAGATTACCACAGCGTCACCTTACTCATGTGCCTCTAGACTCCTGATTAATTGTCCAACAGCAGCTGAAAAGAGCACCTACCGATAAACTCCTTTCTCATCTTATCTCTCTTCCTGAGGTCATCTGTCCCGAAGATGAGGGCGTTGATGACACTGAGGAGTGTAACCATGTAAGGGACATTATCTGTGGCCTGCAGCTCATTCATGATCCCACTGAAGCGATACTGCTGCGTCTTCACGCCCTGAAGGGGAAATTCAGATGTCAATAATCACCTTAGTATCATTGAGGAAGACTGTGATTCTACAGCACTATAATGCCTGTTCATGCAACCCACCACTAGAGGGCAGCATTAGGGGATTTATTATTCGGAGATGTGGAATCATGTGAGGTAAATCCTCCAACAACTTAACATTTCAAAACAACGGTAGAAGCATGACTCTTCTACATGTTCATCTACTTGCCTTGTAGTGATCCAGGGAATCCAGTGCCAGTCGATGGCCATCTGCAGAGAACATGCTGAGGGCGGCAAGGAGATCAAAAACCTGCTTCTTCACCATGGTGTTGGAAGTGTCCAAGGCTGTGGAGCAATGTGATCACACACATCAATAAAGGTAGAGTTCTCACATTTCCCATCAATTTCTTCCATGTTTCTCTTAAAGCAAACCCCCTATCTCTGCTATCTCTTCCTTTTTGCCTCTCTTGTCTACACCTGAGCAGGATGCTTTGTTTCACCAACTGAACTCAACTTGAACTTTGCCCTCTGAAGATGTGGCACGTAAACACGTGTATGTGCGTTTGAAATCCAATGTACACAAGACACTGATTCTTCTTTGTACATACAGCAGTACATGCCCTGGAAATTCAGCTCAGCAGAGTGAGTCAGGGAACCATTTAATCACCTGAGTTTTGACCAACTAAACAATATTACAAATGTTACCTTATATGTATAAAAAAACAAGTGGCACCTTAGGTCCTTAACCATGAAATGGCTTTCTTTTTTAATGAACAGTTTAATTTAAATATATTGTATTTTGTCTTTTCATGTGTGAGGCTACTCTGAGACATAATCATATGAACACTACATGGAGAAAGTAGATGTGATGATTTAAAATGAAGGGTATGGTGGAACCTTGGGAGAGCTTCCGAATGTGTCCCTCATTCTCTATAATGAAGTGGATCCCTGCAGAGGAGTTCATGACCGCGCGGACGCAGCTGACGCAGGTAAGCTGCAGGAGGGCGTCTGCAATGCGAGAACACCCCCGCCCTGAGAGCCGGTCCAGGGCCTCCAGGAGGAGATCCAACCCGCTCAGCTCCAGGAACTGGACCATCCATGTCTGGTCGCTGCCCTCCAGGCGACGCTTCAGCCCCGAGTAGTTGACCACAGTGGGAACTTGCAGCAGCCTGATGCACAGCTCTGGGTCAGCACTCTCCAGGTTGGCCTCCGGCGCGGTATCCGAGTCCTGCGAGGAGCCCAAGCGACCCCTGACTGCTGCCCACTTTTTTTTCCCATCTGACTTCCCTGACATGATGGCTGTGGAGGAAAGAAAGGTGACAGAGGACAGGTAGAGACAGAGCTGCACTTTTAATTGCTGCAAAATATATCTCCTCATGCCACGAACTGAGGACAACTCAGTTAAATAATTGTACTAATTTTCAAATTATTATTATTTTGATTGGTTGATTTTGTTTTTAAATTTCACATTTGATACCAATTTTTATATTTATTAATTTTTTTAATTTAATTAATTAATTACATTTTTTGTCTGTAAATATAAACACACATGTTTACGGTTTTATCTATTTATTTTATTTTTAATATATTATTATAATAACATGTTACTGTTTCATTTATTTTATTTTATTTAAATTTTTTAATATATTTTAATTTTCTAACACATGCTTCTGGTTTTTATTTACTTTTATTTTTACAGGAATTTTTATATTTTTATTATTATTATTAAAATTTTTATTAACACACACAAACACAACTTTTACTTTTTTATTTACTTATTTAATGAAATGTATGAAATTAATTGTTCTTATGTAATTTATAGCTTTGGCAATATTGTTGTTATACATTCATGCCAATAAAGCTGATTTGAATTGAATTGAATTGAAAGGAAACATGTTCACGGTTGCTCTCAATGTTAATGTGTGCGGATAACAAGAGACAGTTTTCAGCTATTAGTTTAAAAAAATAAAAATAAAATAATAATTCTGATTGTTTTGGACAGCAGATGGTGTCTGTTTGCACCAATATCCGGAATTCAGTGTCATCATTGCATCTAGACCAGGGGAAGCAGGCCAAAAGAGGGCCTTATCAGAAAGGAAAACAGAATAGGAAATGATAGCACTGCACTTTTGTGGATGTGTAAAATATATGTCAGCAGTCCAGTCATCACCAGTTCTGCCAAACATTCCTACTTAATCCTGCCTGAAAGAGAAGAGACGTGCAGTCAGCTTGTCAAGCCTCTCTGCAAAGCCAGGCTCTACATTGCCTGGACAGAGCGCAAATTACATTATGAATAACTGTATTTTTAAAGCTCATTAATGAGATATTAAACATTGGAAAACATGAACAAGGCACACTTGTGAAAAGCTAACACATAGAAACAACTGTGCAGGAAGAACCTTTCACAAACATAGAACATATCGGACCCTGACATTGATGCCACAAGTGCCCTTTTCTGGCGTAACCCCAGAGCACAATCCTGTCTTTTACCAACCTGTCTCACCCCTGAGCTTCTAAACTATCCACTGCAATGCATGTCACTAGTATAAAGACGTTCCCACACTCTAATAAAATCAACAGGATAAGGGTTCGGACCAAAAAAGGGTAAAACGTTTTTCAAAAGCCTAAAAATATTTTCTCTCTGTGCTGAATGCGGTGATATTAGGTGGCCCAGCACAAATGAACAACCCAAGTGGTTCTTCTGTCTTCTGTTGTTGATCTCACACTTGGCAAAGATAACATATACAGATGAGACACTGAGTGATGAGCACGAACACACACAATGCTCTGCAAACAGGTCACTCTGCAAAGAACACCGAAATGGCCCTACTCAGGAATCTTGCTTTTTTGATGCTTCATTTTGTTTCTACATGTCAGGAGCTCAGAATACTGAACACAGTTACAAACAAAAAGCTTGCAGGCGGCTTGGATATCTCTCTTTTCAAAAAGTCATTTGCAGGGAACAGAAGCAATGACTTGTGAAAAATCCGACAAATTGTGTTTCTATTCACTCGGTGGAGTCAAGGTACAATTAGGCTTTTCTTTTCTCACATATTCTGGTAAGCATTTGTCAGCTCTGACTGCAGCATTTTAATCGTGCTGCCAGTGTGAGAGTGTTACCGTGGCAGCAAGCAGGCAGACAATGGTGTTCAACAATAGGCCGTCTCAATACTCTTCAAAGGGCTGTGTTCATCAGCCACACAAATGGATGGAATGCTCCCTGCCCCCTTTTAAGGTTAATAAGGGTTACGCCGAGCGAACCTTTAGGCCTATACACCCTCTGATTGAGGATTACACTGTTCTTTCATGTTCAGTGTGAGTAAAGAATGAAAGTTGTTTGCTTGTAATGTGGAGAATTTTCACAGCCATGAAAACTTGTGAAGCTACCAGCGTTCATTGAAATGCACTGAGAGTTTTGTTAAATGGATTCGCTTCCTGCAAAGTTATGACTAAAAGACACTTCAAAGTGTGTGTGTGTGTGTGTGTGTGTGTGTGTCATGTGGACAGTAAGCTGGACTCAGCACGACTCAGGAACTTTTCAGAGGGAAGGAAAGGACTTTCCCGGGACAGGAAACTTGGCTCAAGATAAACATGCTCGTGTGACAGCTCATGTTCCTCTTTTGAAATTTCAGTTTCATTCCAAAGGATGTTGATTTGATCCCAAATAGTCAGATATTCTGGTCATGTACGAACATCTGGGTTACATGTGTCGAGCAACGCCAAAGACTGACTGCGATGGAAAAACCATTTGCATTTACTTTTGTGCACCCGTCAAATATAAGCAACTTTCAGTTGCCGACCTTGTCTGCCAGAGCTCCCACATGTACCACTAATAGCAGGCTGATTCACTGCACACAGGACAAGCCCACGCATCTGTCCTCTGGTGAAGCCGCCCACACAGCAGCCCACTGCTACTGTACAGCATCAACACTTATGAAAACGCTGAAACATCTCCACTGATTTATTTCCTCTCAGACATATGCAGAGCTTATGCATGATACTTTTTTTTCTACAAATGTTCTTTACCAGCATTACTAAATGAGTCAATAAACTAACAGATTTAGGGGCAATTAATTAAATATCATGGACCAGTTTAACAATTTTTCTCTCTTTTCTCATTCTGCTTTATTTCCCTTAAGTATGGGGATATGTATAATTAAATTATTGAGGAGTGAAATGATGAGTAGATTTCATGATAGCTACACATAACACATGTGTTACTTGGAGATTGTGTAATTATAAGATGGCTGTA